TTCATTCTAGAATGAAAAAGGTATAATTTATATTTATTTCCATTTTTTATGGTGGTTGCAAGATTGGTCAAATCTACCGGAACCCATATACAGATTAATTGCTGAAAATAACAGATAAAATATAAAGTTTTTTCTTAAGAAACGTTTGATAACTATCTGAACAGTATAAAGATTTCACATGTGAAATTTGAAAATTTTCTGATGCATAAAAGTATTTTTAATCTTAAAATGAATATTACTTTACATGATAGATAGGCAACATGTGAAAATAAAAAAAAGACACGAGAAAACATTGCTTTACAAACCCTTAAGACTTAATAAAAAAATTCATATTTTGAGTATGAAAGCATTGTAATGTTTACCGATAATCTGCTGAATTTCGTTAACATTTGCTTACTAATTTAAAAGTTATAGCATGAAAACTATAACAAGCACAAATGGTTACGAGATCGGTCCCAGAGCCCATGCTGAAAGAGTTAAGCACAAAGTTAATACAGAGACAAGCAGAAGGAATCCACAGACTGACTTTTGAACTCTGGTGAGCTTCAAACAGATGTAAATCTATGTAAGGTGGAGAAAGAGGGAAAGCCATCAGGACCACAAGAGGTTGAAAATAATATAGCATATCTCTGTAGATACCTGCAGTGAAGGCCAGAAACTATGGAAGGGAATATGTATGGGCACATCCAAGTTGAGTAAAGGAAATATGAGATCTCTGGTATCAAAGGTACCATGTCACAAAGACAAAAAAGTAGGCTGACCCTGCCTGCATATGAAGTGAAGGAAATACAAAGTGGGGTCGAGATTGAAATGGAGAGTTGAACCAGCCACCCCAAATGAGATGACTCCCAAAGGAGAAGGGAGATTGCAACAGAGGAAGACATGTTGGAAGGGACAAATGGAGGTCAACTACCTATAGGCTAGAGGAATAATAAGCCTCAAGAATGTAACCTTTGAGGAAAAGCCCATTGGAACCAATGTTAAAAGATGGGGTAGTAGCTAACTTGAAGGGAAGGACTGAGTGCCAAATTCGACCATTGTAAAAGAATCAAAAGAAAAGGTAGGTAAACATATTGAGATGTGGAGAAAGTGTCTGAACCCGGAATCAGTCATTCACAACTGGGAAATGTAGCCACTAGAGAGTGAGAAATTGCCTTGGGAACCGAGGGAAGACCAAGGTTGGATGAAATGATAGAGAATGATTTTTGACTGACAACCTCTCACCTTTGTGTGAATAATTTGAGCAATAAAAAGACAGGAGTTAAATCCCAAATTGGGATTGATAAATTGTTCCAAGGCATTTGAAACAAAATGAGGTGGAGATTAGAAGTAACAGAAAAAACACCTAAGGAACTCAAAAGGCGGTAGTGAAGGGAGTCTGCCAGTGGACAAAATAGGCAATTAGAAAAACCAGGCCCAAGGCTGAGGGGTGACTCTAGAAACGAATAACCTCCATGACCTGTGATGGCCAGCCCTCAAAGAGGAGGACTATGGATAATAGCAAGAGGTCAAACAACACAAAAGGGAGCAAACTCATGAGGACATACATGATTAAAAACCTAATGGGGCCCCTTGTCCCAAGGGTCAAGAAACTAAAGTGAGAAGAGATAACTGCTGAAGAGAGACATCAGCTCAAGATGCCAAAGTATAAGAAATACCTCCAAAAAAACAGATCACAAAGAAAAGTTGCAAGACAAAGGTCTTGGAAGAATATTGGTGAAAATGTAAGTCACAAAGACAACCTGACAACCCAGAAAAAATGAAACCTAGGCAACTAGAATAAATTGGAAAAAAATTGAGGGTAAGATGGAAAATGCGTATATAAAAATTGGCCCAGTAACATTGGTAGGGTTATGATGGAAAGCCAACAAATGAAGATAAAGCATGAGAATGAAAAAAGAAGTTGAGGAAGAGATGAAGACAAGGAAATGGAGAAAGAAAAAGGAAAAATGAATGGGGTGAAGGAGGCTCATGCAACAAAGAAACTCAAGATGCAGCAAAAAATTACCAGCGAAATAGAAAACAAAGTACACATATCTATAGAATCCAAGCAGTGAAGAACAAATGTGGGACTACCTGATCCATGTCAGGAAGAGGGAATGAGAAGCAAAAGCAGACATGTGTCCCCAAAATTACAAAATCAATTAAAATAAAACTGAAGAAAATTTAATATAAGTCAAGAAATTAAAGAGAAAACTTCAAAAAGGACTACAGGATAAATAGTAATATAAAGTTAAAATAATAAGCACACAAATTCCAGTAAATGTCATAAAAAAACACACCTGAAGAAAAGCAGTTCCATGGAAAATGAGCTTGCATTCATGTGCTAATTGCTTCTGGGAAGTACTGTTTGTAAAGGGATATAGTTTAATGATGATTACACCATTAGATCATTGGCTGGCACAATACATGTTTTCATATGTAGGAGTGGGAGCTTTGTTCAAGGCTTGTGGTATACGCAGGAATTTACACAGCAGTGCACAAAAGGTAATGGTAAATGTAAACCAAAATAGAACAGAAAATTTGTTCTTTGAAAACACACATTAAAAAATGGTGCTCATCTATCTGAAGAAGAGCTTCTATGCCTGAAACATCATTTTAAATTAAAGCTTTTGTTTTTCGGTCAATATTTTGTTTATGGTGTTAGTTTTTACAACTTTTTTATCACTTTTGAAACATAAACAAACAATTAGGACAACCAAAAGTATTACTCACTTTTCAGATAACCTCTCTTTTACACTGGTAGATGGGCACTTACTTTAATAATTTCAATGTGCAGATGATCAATTCACTCCAATTCACAAAGATTGTTTGTAATTCCTCGTCAGTAAGAACCCCAGATTCTTTCAGAGGATAGTAGAATGCCTAAAATAAACAGGATAATAAATAGCTTTGATACACAAAGAAACCTACACAGGATATAGAAATTAGGAAATACATTTTGATGACAAATACACATAGAAATCCAAAGATCTACAAACAGCACAATGTCAAGTTAAAATATATTTTACAATCAAAACACTGCTTTTTTTAAACCTATATCTAGAAATAAGTAAAAATTATTTTTAGCAGTTATAGTTTAGTCTCAAAACAAGGTTATTGTAGACCAAGGTTGAAAAATAGTTGCACACACATGCATAAAGTGTGCCAAAGAATTTGGCTGGGATCTAATGATTTTAATGTAAAGCTTGTCAGGAACAATTTCATGTTAGCTAATCCCTACTTTGAATTTCAGTAAATTGTTCATGTGGCAATCATGAAATATGTGGAGATAATTTTAGTTTATACAGTATAATCATCAACACAATATCATGTTCAAATTTAAAACCAGTTCTGTGTGAGTGCAGAATCAATGCATACTGAAAATAAACACAGTATCTTATGCACACTACCTCTGGGACAACCATTACATTCATTGAGATGAGTGTGTTGTTTTATATTCATCGCTGTTGAGAAACACAATTACAGATCGACGAGGAAAAGAAATAAAACAAGCTTTGGTTCAGTTACCTCCTACAAATTTCCAGAAGGTTGAGAGTCTATATTCCAAAGATTTTGGACATTCTGCAAATATGTTACAGACAATGACACAGTGATATATATATATTACAAAAAAGGAAACATTTGCGCATTGCCTGGATCGTACACTATTCTGCATCTGTAGACTGGTCACTGTCATCGTCTTCAGTGAGACAGTCATTATTTAGATCGTTGAGAATTTCTTGTTCCAAGTTGTCACAGAACTCTTCGATAGTGGGAAAGTTGTTGTCTTAGTCGATCTATTCGTTGGGATCGGTGATGACATTGGGAAGATGGTCTTTAGCAAGCTGTAGCAGTTGAACCAAAGGGATGTTTTAGTCTTCATCTTTGCTGTTGTCAATTGAGGAGAAACTGATGAAACATTTTGCAAAACACTTTGATACTGTGCTGGTTTTGATTTCATGCATAGCAGAATTGATCCAAGCACAAGCGTCTAGTACACCGACAATTTTCACCAAGTTTGTGAGCAACATGCCTTTATCCATGTTCGATAACACGGAGCTGAATAGGCACTTTTTGTATTGGGCTTTGAATACACAAATGATATCCTGGGCAATAGGTTGTAGTACTGACATTGCATTGGAAGGCAAGAACACAATTTTGACATTGCTAAGATTCACTTGATTGTGCAATGTGAGATTGTCTAACAGCAAGATAATGTTTGAAGCCTGTAACCCAGTCTTGGAAGACTTCTTGTTAGCATACCAAGATACAGATAAGTCACTCTTTATGTTTAATTTTTTGAAGTACCTGGGTTTTGTGCTCTTACCGATCACAATAGCATATTTAAATTCACCAACACTATTGCAACATAATGCAACACTTTGTCTATCTTTTGATTGATTGCCTCCAGCGCACTGTTTACCTTTTACATACAGTGTTTTGTCTGGTAAACCATGATAGCTGACCCCAGTTTCATCCATATTGTAGATGTCTCAAAGTGCATATCTCTCTATAATAACAGCAATTTGGCATTCCATTCATCAACTGTCATGCCATCGACATTGCCACATTCACCACTAATTGTGAGTTGCAAAATTTTATGTCTGGCTTTGAATTTAGTGAACCATTCAGACAATGCTTTGAAGTCAGAAAGATCCAGAGTAGTAGCTATTGTAAGTACCTTTTCTTGCAATATAGGTTTAGAAACTGTAATTTTCATAGCATGAGCTTTTTGATACCAAGACCATAATGATGCTTCAAGGTTGCCACTCACAAATTTAGAACAAATGCATTTTCGTGAAGATGGCTGATTCTCTTCAAACATTGTCATATATTTAGCCTTATGCTTCAAAATTTGCTGGATTTGTGTTTTGCCGACATTGAACTCTTCAGCTAATTTGTGCTGGCTTTTATTGCTGGCATTATGTGCCTCAATAACTTTGACTATATCTGCCAATGATAGTTGAACATGATCAGATGGCTTTGCATAATTTTGGAATAGAATCTCTATGTCACAGAGAATTATAAAAGCATTTGACAATAAATTTCATGTGCGATCGAAACAGAATAAATTGATGTTTTACTCACTGACTGATGCGATATTTATACACAGAGTATCTTTCACAGTAATGTTATCAAAGAGTATGTGAAAACATTGCCATTTCAAGTGGCTTCTTTTGTAGCTGCCTCCTGTTAAATTTATAATCAACAGAAAGCCGAGATTTCAACTGATTGATCGCAATATAGTTCATGCCATGTGATGTTACAGATAATTGACAGTTAAGCTGATGAGAACAATTTTTTTCCCCACAAGAACAGAGTGGGGAGCTAAGTTGAATTTCTAATTGTTCAAGTCACATGATAAGAGAGTCAGAAAAATTCTGACAGACACCCAACTTTCTCAGCTGTTGACATGTTATTATCCTGTGTTCTTCTATCATGCATTATTTACTTGAAGAAAACATTATTTTATGGACTAGTAGCATTGGTGAAAGTATAAGGGCCAACAAAGAAGGGCAGTTGATGACAGAAAAAAAAAGTTACACAGGTAAGTTCTATATTTCTCGTTTTTCTTAAATATTCTTTATTTATTAGCAATCGATGTGTTCGAAGGAAAATGAAGTTTGATTATAAACAAGATTACGACACTTATGATAAACAACATTGT